GTTTTAAGTCTTTACTTGGCCTTTTAACAAAATATGTTAAAAAAAAAAGTTAAATAAATAATATTAATTATTAGTAATTGATTACTGTGCGATAAGTCAAGATTATTTTTGTGTAGTCTTCTGCCCCTTGTTATCAGGTGTATCTGATTGTGTACAATAGGATTTTGAGTAAAGTTTTTACCATTAAATTATGCAAAAGGTGTCTGACGCAAAACATTTCAGAAACCGGATGTATCAAATATGATACGTTTGGCATTACAGGGTTAAAAGTAGGTGAGATTCTGGCATTGCACGAGAGGAAACAGTGCTTCGCTTCTTCTTCTCTTTTAATACTGGTGGTTGCCTTTGGGCGCAGTAGCGCCACCTTCTGCTCTGGAGTGAACACGCTTCCCTCTGAGAAAAAGGAGCAGCGCATGAACCAAACGCAACACACGCGAATCGAACCGAGATAGTCGAACCGAACGGTTCGGACGGTTTTCATAAACCGTCCCATCCCTACTATGCTTATGTCACAACTCGATCACTCCGGTCATCAGTGGACTGTGGTCTAGCAGAGCCTTCACCAGCTTAAGACCATCCAGATGTTTAATGTGTCGTTCCAAGATGGTGGAACGACCTACCAAGCTACAAGAACAGCAGCAGATCCCTTTCTATCTTTAAGAAACTCTTGAAGACCCACTTCTTCAAAGAGCAGCTCCTATCCTAACCCTAACCCGTACTTCTATTCCCCCCACAACTCCTTCTGTAGTCCCTCTACTTCTATCTCTATCTCACCACTGACTCTGATCAGTGTTTCTCCTCTGTATAGCTTATTGACATAGTGATGATAAATGTAATATTGTGTTCACTCTGTAAGTCACTTTGGATAAAAGTGTCTGCCAAATGCAGAAACATAAACAGCTGGAGCAAACATGGTGACATGCAAGCCATCATGATGAGACAGGAATACAGGGCTCATAACATGTGGTGTTTCCCTGTTTGTCTGCTTGTTTGTTCCTCTGGACGGTGAGGTTGCAAGTTCTCTGAAAACATACCAAGCTCCACATATATTCTAGACTTCAGAATTTAAAACCTGTCTCACTGTGCTGAACAAGCTGGTGTATGGACTGTGACAACTAGGGACGTCCCGATCCCGGCCTATCAGAGAATGTACTAAAGTTTAAAGTTATTTATCTACTTACTTAGTTGTCTGAATAATCTTTTCCCCTGCCGGCCGATACGCAGTTTTTTGCAAATATCGGCGGCCGATCCGATCCAGATATCGGATCGGGACGAGCCTAGCGCCTTATAATGCAGTGCGCCTTACAAATGCAAACATTTTTAAGATAGGCCATTCATTGAAGGTGCGCCTTGTAGTGATGTCCCGATCCAGCTTTTTGCACTTGTGATCAGAGCATGTAATAAAGTTATTTATCTACTTACTTAGTTGTCAGACTCATGTTGAACAGAGATTTACTCTGATAACAACTTAATGGTTAGGACACAGACCTGTGGGTTAGCAGATGCTAATGCTAATGTGGGATTGGATTTCAAGAAAAAAAACTGGATCTGGAGTCTGGATCTGCATTTTCTCCTGCTGGCCGATCCGATCCAGATATCGAATCAGGACAAGCCTAGTGACAACGTGATGCATTCACTGTCCTTATCTTAGCTTTACAGACGTCTCTACAGAGTTGATTTTTAAGCCTGTGGTGGGACGATGCTCCTTCTGGTCCCTGGAAGGAGAGCTTTATTGGTTCGTTAAGGTTTCTGTGACTGCCCACACCTGGCCTGGGCTCACCTGCGATAAACAGCGACGCGTTGCGACTGGTTGCCACGCCGACGCCGTTCCGGGCGACGCAGGCGTAAACGCCTTCGTGCGACTGGCCCCGCCGCCCCCCCCCCACGCTCAGGAAGAACAGGCTCCCCTCGGACAGCACCATGGGCGTGAGCTGCCCGTCCCCTTGGGCCGTCTCCAGGGGCTGGCCGTTGCGCAGCCAGCCGATGCTCGGCTTCGGGGCGCCGTCCGCCCGGCAGGACAGCGTGGCCGGGCTCCCCACCCTCACCACCACATCGGAGGGGTGGTGCACGATACGGGGGGGCCACTCCTCAGCATGAGCCCTGGAACCTGAGGACGAGGCAGAAAAGAGTAGACCTTAACTAGAATCCAAATTTATGTCGGAGAGTAGCAAAAAACCCTTTGCATCATGGTTTCTTCTTATAGTTCTTATAAGATCTAGATCAGGGGTGTCAAACTCTGTAGTTATATTTGGCCCGCGCGACAATACCAAATGAGCTGGCCCCCCGGTATTATATTGTACATTAAACGCTCATACTACAAATCCCATAATGCCCTGCTGTTGTTCAGGACAGGACCCAGAAACTCCTCTGTGACACTACAGCTGTCACTGTGCTACTTCCCAAAAATGACCAAAAGAAAGGCAGGAAACAGGAGCTTTATGGACAAGCAAATTTTATTTTGATATTTAATTCAGAAGGCTGTGAATAGAAAAATGTTTTAAAACTTTTATTTTGTAAATGAATGCCATTGATGTGTTTATTTATTTGAAATTTGATTTTGCATGTCTCCACTATTAAGTTATATATGATGTAATAAGAGTTGCTTGTTCCATACTTAAAGTTAAAGCAAAATTAGTTTCGTTCCATGTTAAAAGGTTCATTTGTTCAATCTTGGCCCGCGGCTTTGTTCAGGTTTTAAATTTTGGTCCACTGTGTTTTTGAGTTTGACACCCCTGATCTAGATGATGGTAGATAAGATATTGCATATTTATCAGGCCAAACCACACAGTGCAATACCATATCACTGGTCAATCTATCTGCCAAACTCCTATATTTTCTTAGGGGTCTTTATTTTCACGTTGTATTTATATTCATATTCTTTGCTTATTTTTGCTTAATTAAGGGTTTTTTATTTTTGACTTTGTATTTATATTCTTTTTTTTTGGGCTATTCACATTTAGTGTGTACCTGTACTTAATTTGTATTTTTTGTATTTTTTTGCATTTTGCTCTCTGTGTGCTACTTTTTTGCCCTGTAAGCTGCTGGTAACTTTATTTTCCTTATTTTCCAAGGGATCAATGAAGTACAAGTCTAAGTCTAAGTCTATGATATGTTTGATGCCCTTACATGTCATGACTCGTCAGAATATGATCCAGTTTATCTAAGGCTGAACGTTCCCAGAGTTTAAATGTATGGTATAAATATATATATTTGTTTACAGTGTGGATTAGCCACACCCAAACGGCAGACTACCACACAATACGCACCATGTGTGAGATCATGCAGCGGGCAGCAAACATGCCACTAACAAACAATGTCTATTTGCAGGCGGCTCCACTGGAATGCCATTGTTTGGACTTCCCATGAAGTGGGACCATCACGCCGACGGAAACGGGAAGACCGCGACCCACTTCCTGACTTTAGAGGAAGCTGGAAGGTCTCAGGGACACCAACTCCAACAAAAACCCCCAAAGCTTCCCTACAGCAACAGCACATCTGCTACACAGCCAAACACACACACACACACACACACACACACACACACACACACACACACAAACACACACACTTTTTCTCTTTTCCTCAATCCTTTTTAAAAAATGTAATGAATCCTGTTGCATTAACAGTGAATCCAGAATACATCCAGATTCGGTCATGCCATCAGTGACCCTTTTTCTGAAGTATTCTCCGCTGAATACTCAGAAAATATAGAAAATAGTCAAACTTCAGGACCAGATGAAGTCCAAAGATATGTAAAAAACTGCAGACATTATGAATCGTCTGAGAAATCAAAGGAAAATTAATAATAATCTGCTCAAATTCTCATCAAACGCATTGATGAAATAAAAAAGTAGTAATTTGTTAATCAAAAGGCCAGTGATACAATTACCAGTTTTTCATAAAGCGATATACAATAGACAAATATTCTGTTTGAAAGAATGAATGGGTATTTTTAGTGGTCAAACTTTGTAAACAGTAAAATCAGGATGGAGATGATCTGGCCCTCGCTAATGATCGCCAGAATAAATAAAAAAAGATTTAATCATGAACGTTTCATGAATAACTTCCACACAGAAGACCACACAAACAAGTTTTTTGTGGTTCCTCCTAGTGAAGCCCCTCAGGTTGAGGGTTTTGTGGTCCGGGAGGAGGATTTTGATGGAAATTTTTAGTTATTACAGATTGGAGGAGATGTAATTATCAACATATCTGATCATTAAGAGGATGACATCATCCACATGAATGAAACCTCACAAATAGTTAGGAGTTGGGATAACATTAGGATGGAAAAACCTTATCAAAACCATACCAGACCCATCAAGAAGATGGATATATTTAACTGTTTATTTGTCTGTTTTCAATGATCTTTCCTGTCTTTTTTGGGGGGGGATTTTGAAAAACTGACCTGACAAAATAATCTGAACAGGCAAGTTAAAGTTATTTCAAGGATGTAGACGATTTGGATGCTGCTTGATATTGATAATTTACCACAAGATGATATCTAAAAAATAAAAAAAAGAACTTGTTAGTAGGTTAATGTAAGAAAACCTTATGTTTTGTTGTCATATTTATACTGTACAGCTTTACCTCAAAGCTATCACCTATACTTTTACTGCCTTCAACAAATCATTTCACTATTATTCAAGAAAGAAATTCATTCACAAAATTAGCTATTATTTAAATAATAACCCGTCCAGAAACGTGTCCGCACTTACCTAACAGAGTAAGTCCAAAAATCAGGATGAATTTCCGGATAATTTCCCATTTAACCATCATGGACGAGCAGCTAAATTAACGGTCATTAACGAATATTTCAAAACTGGAGCTCCTCAACCAAACGTTTCCTGCTGAATTAAACAAAATTGAATTCATAAAGATAATTTATTTGAGTATTTCTCGTAGTTTACGGACCAGCTTTTCCATGAGAAGTTTTTTAAGCGTTTAGATAAACCTTAGCGTTAAACTTTTCTACGGTCTGGCGTCACCAACGGCTGTGTAGGTGAGAGGTGACAGCCATACTCCAATAACGGCTACTTCCGCTAGTTTTGCCTTTCAAAATAAAAACAATCATATCAAAAGATTAGTTAAAATCGCATAAATATCGATGATAATGGAAGGATAAGATCTTTATTCAATAAATTCTCGTAATAGTGTTGCGTAAGATTAATATTTACCCCATGAGAAGTTTTAAACTAATTGTTTTTCAGTTCACTCGTTTGTGTGATGGTTTTAATTTGGAGGCAGCAGGGCGGAACATTTCCGGAAATATTTTAACTTTTTGCTCAAAGTTAGTCATGAACGTGTCTTAATCATTATAGGAAACTGCTTGTTTCTCCCTTCCTCTAAAATTAGCACAGATTTATTATTTGAGCACGATAAAAGTTATTTTGTGGCATTTATTCACTTTAACAACGTTGAAATTGAGAAGTTTAACCATAAATACTTCAGCTCACATGCAAACATTTAATGCTCAAAACAAATATT